CTTTAGAGTAATTTTGTATTTCTTTTTTAAAATACTTTGTATGGGCTCGTGCTTTACTGGATTTTCTTTGAGCTTCCAGCAAGCTCCAGAAGTATACAATAAATAATTGGTAGATCCTATTTTAAGCCCTTAAGTACTGGGATTCAATTTACAATTACAAATCAACACAAGCAATTCAAACTTGGCACATTTGCCATGGAGAGATTTTCCATGCAACCTCACCAGAAGAGCTATGGGACTACCAAGTATTTCACTATTCATCCAAGGAGAAACAGCATAAAAAGCAGGTTAAAAAGAAGAATCACTCAAAGCAAAATCTGACTGGTTGAATTTTGGGAAGACTCATAATAACAATTTCTGAAAGTACACACATGACTTGTCACTTCATACAAGTTTATTCTAAACAAAGGTCAGTTGAAATTGTAAATATTAGATATAGTTCCCATTTTAACCCAGGTTAGATGATTGGATCTGGAGGTCTAATTTTTCACCACTTTTGAAGTTATTTTATCTGTCAATATGTCAGACTCCAGGCACCAGTATCATTATTGGTCTTTTCCAACTACAGTGCTGAATTTTCCCTAGTGATCAGACATTAGGAGAAGGAGAAGGCTGTATGCTTTTGGCTTCGTTTTATGAGAGAAGAATACAACAAACCTCTGATTTCAATATATATGTACCCCAGGATTATATCTACTTCTAGCAACATCAAAACGGAGTCCACTATAGGGATTCTTTCTTGCCCAGCCAGCCATGGGGATCTCAACCATAAGATTTAGGATCAACACGCCTGAGAACTGGTATGATTAGTAACTATGCAAAGTAAATTTCCTCAAGGAAAAGGTTTTATTGAAAATTGATACTTGCCAGACATTTGAAAAATGAGATTTTATCCCCCTATTTTATTTTGCTATACACTCTCTTTAAACAGTTGAGTTTTTATGATACCTTCTTGTTCCAGGAAACAGAGCACACTGTGAAGCACACAGTGTATAACTGCAGTAAAAAGGTTCCTAGAATGTTTGTTTTAATATCGTTGCAGAGAGGAAAGTGTATTACTTAGATATGAAAAATACTGGTTAACAAACTTCGTGCCCATTATCCACAGTTCACTGTCTTGAGTCACTTGACTCACTGTTTCCCTGCAGACTGGCTCTGCACATTTGCTCATTTGGGAGCAAGCAAAGCAACTGTCAGGTTTATCTGTCACAGGGTTTCTGAAAAAGAGCAAGCTGCACAGTTGTGCCCCCTGTGCAGTGACTGGCAGACAGTTTGGCAAATTCAAGGGCTCCTGAAAGAGCTTGTCCACATTCCAGGGAAACTGAAAGACAGGTGAGAAGGACATTTAAATATACCTCAGTTTCTAGACCAAGGTTAATCTAAAGCCTCCTGGACAGGAGTTCAAACTGGCCATAGCTAACAGTTACTTGAAAACTTCCACCTTGAACTGAAAGTGTTTCCCTTCTTTTGATACTCAAATGCAAGTTACACAAACAATGGTAATTAATCAAACATTATTTCACAGCTTGGATGGATTGTTGCCCCAGCGAAAGCAAAGTTTCAGTTTACTGTTAAAAAAACCCCAACAAACAAACAAAACCCCCCTCACTCTAGCTACCCCTTTCTGGAAAACAGTATAGCTCTCTAAAGTACAAATTGACCTAAAATTCTCAGAAGACACTTGATCCAGCCTGCTGAAAAGAAGAATATATGAACATAGGTTACAGTAGCTACAGTAGCCTTCTAGCATCCTCTCTCCTGGCAACTTCAGAGTAAGAAAAATTACATGGTCCAAGAAAAGATTCTGTTCCACAGAACAGATGTGCAGTTGGACTTCTATAATGTTTGCTGCTGTGTTGGTTATAATTGCATACTGAGGAAGGCGTAAGATTTGTGAAATTGGCAATTTAATAGAAATCCAATTGTGATTATTTATGTGGGGATTGTTAACTACTGAAGACAGCTAATTATAAAGAAGACTTCAGAAGCAACATTGTAAATTAAACCAATAGGGTTAAAAAACCCCAAACCAAAACAATAACAACAACACACAGATACACACACCCCCCCCTAAGAAAAAAACCTTATTACCTAACCATGCCTGGCTGTTTTCTTGCCAAATATAATATTGGCTTACACACCTTTGTTTTACATGACAGAAATACAGAATTCTAATGCTAGCCAAGTAGTCTAAAACTTCTTCTAAATTCTTCATTTCCCATACACCAAAGTCAGATGGGGTAGTTTAAGATGCTGCCATGCCTGAGCTGAGCATTACTTTACCCATCTACAGTGTTTCTGACATCAGTGGTACTGTCTGCAGATGTAAGGCACTTACACAAAACCATTCCACCAGAATAAAAGTGGAACAATCTGGGCCTGTATTGTGACAGTATATTTCAACAGAAGGATAATGACATTTCTGAGAAACTCTGCTAAGTCTTATCCAAACCAGTAAATAACAATATTATCTGCTCTGCTATTTCACAGTAATTATTTTTTCCTTCGAAATACAATCTCAGTGATTTTATACAGGACACACAACCACTCCCTTTTTCTGATTGTGTCCTGCTCTACCATAATGCCAGTATATTTTCAAAAATGCCCCAGCTCAAGCCTAGGAAATTATACTGACTACCAGAATACCTTAATCAGAACGTTCTTATCAGTGTGTCTCCAGACTAATAAGAAGAAATCCAATCTAGAGCCTACTGAACACTAAATTAGATCTAATCATAGGGCACTCTTCCAACTGTTCAAAAGCAGGTCTAAAACCAACGAATGCCATTTATTTTTTTTGGTATCCATTAAAATTCTACAAGCAATCCTTTAATAGCTGCTTCAAAGCCATGATCAGAAAAGTGTGCAGATATTTGTTTGTATTTAAAGCATGATCAATGCTTTCCTTGCCAAAAGCTGCTTTACATCCAAATTCTTTCAAGACCCGGAAAGACTCCAGAGCCACAATACTCTGGGATTTCCATAACGGAGCAACCTACTTACATCTTCTCAGCTTGAGAATGTTTAAATGGTTGAAGTACACCACCTTTTAATGGTTCTCTGGCACACAGATTTTGCCCCCTTAACAAAAAGGCATCATTTATATATGTAATTCATTGAAAGCCTGCACTACATGCACACAAGGACTATAGTATAAAGGCATTGAAACCTACTTAGCGCTTTATGCAGAAGTTCTAGACCCACATTTTTACAGGACATTGTGAGCCATGGGTTAAGTGATTTTTTTTTTTTTTTTCTACTGGGAAATATCCTACTTGTAAAGTGTCCTGGGTTAGACAGAGCAATGGTGTATCAATTCAAACTTATACCCATAAAATATTTGGGAGGGAGGGCTATGACAAAGCTCAGATTTTTTTAATGGTTTCTTTCTCGGAGGTCAAAGCGAAAAGTTAAGTTTTAGCTCTCCTTTTGCTTTCAGCATCTTCATTGTACCAAGAACAACCTGAGTCTGATAATGACTAACATGCCAGTTACATCAGCATGTACTGAGTCCTGGCTTCTAAGCACTTTCATGCTTATTATTCTCGCAACCGGCAAACTACCTCCCTCCTAAATACACAGTCTTCTCTTACTGCACAGGCTGGCCATGAAAATGCTCAAGTACCAACAAATTTGTGAGGTATGGGACAAGAAAGAGGAAAGGAGCTGCCAGAAAAAGTATGTGCAAAAGGTGAAGACAAAGTAATTGGCTGTGTGCAGGAGACGAACAGCTTCCCACTGTCACAGCTCTAGGATTGTCATAACCAAACCATATGTGCTCTTGATCATCCTTCTCTAGAACAGGGTGGTCCATGTTTGCAATTAAGATCTTATGGATAAATTATATGTCTGAGTAGTACTTCAGTTAATATACAGAGCAATTTCAACTATTTCATATTTTGTTTCTTTGGGTTTGCTCACAGATTTATAATCTAAATCTATGCTTGTTTTTATATAGAATATAAGCGCAGCAAAGACTGCAATCATAGACAGACACATTCAGTGGTAACAATGAACTTCTGGATATTCATTTCTGGTTCTGTCAAGACAGTCAGAAAGGTTTAAATTAACATGTCTAAAGGCTACTTTTTATTTTTGTATGTTATATAAATTATTGTTCGGGGGTGGAAGGTTATGTGTGATATAAACCAGAATTAATTAATTTATCATATATCACCTTTACTTTCTGAGTACATCATCCATGATGGCAAGCAGAACTTTAGGAATACACATTAAACTCACTTCACTTCTCCTCTCTCTACTGACTGGATGAAATAGTAGCTGATTTCCTTCTCTGAAGGAGTTACCAGTTCCCAATGTGATTATAGAGACAAGAGTGAGTGAAATTTGCAATTTCATATTTGGCTTAGGAAATTTTTTATGCTACATTCATAAATATCGAAGAGTGTATTATATATATCCTACCCCTAATCATGACTGTGTGTGAAACCCCACATGGCACAAAATACTCAAATACACAATATAATCTGAAATCATTTATCTTACAACTAAACCACATTTGGCATATATGAAAATAGAACTGAGCATGGCTCACAACAATAAGATCTTTTATACTACCGTTTTGCTTGCGTGTGCAGGTACTTGCAACACAGTAGCCCTCAAGGATCTAGGTATTCAACCACAAACGCTAAATGTGTAAAAATCATCAGATGGCATCCCCACCCGCACATCAGCTGGTGACCAAATTTCCTCTCTTGGACTTCACTGAGTCTCATTTCCTTCCCACACTTAAATCCTCTGTGTCTAATAGCCATTATACACACTGTCCTATAAAACTCTTGGCACCTTCTCCTTTTTTTTTTTTTTTTTTTTTTTTTCAGCCCTTGACTCCCTCTTGCCTGACACAGAAACAACAGACTAGACTACGATGTCCCAGTGAGTTTTCAGTGGAAAAGTTGATTATACTAATGTCAGAAGCTGAAAAAAACAGTAAATCTAGTTCATCTGTAAAATAAAGAAGAGGAAGGGATCATACTCACAGCAGCTGCAGAGACACAAGATCATCAAAAAGGCCTTGGGGAATCTCTGTGATCTTGTTTCCATAGAGCACTCTGAAAGATTCAGGAAGACAAAATAAATCTTAAGTAACAGACCAGTTTAGTGTCCTCCCACATCTCTACATTATCATCTTTATTGATCTTGTGCACCATGCCCAGGATCTGTGGGCATTTCATTTAACTACTGATCTCATTTTGTTTTCAGAGCATGTGGTATTAAATGAGTCGTTATGATTCAGGCTTCGTCTGGTGTTGGAAAGCATTTTTAATGTAGAAACTGGAAATCATCCAAAACTTTATCTGAAATATTTTTCATTCTGTTGAGGGATTTTTCTCCACCCTTTTCAGAAATATTTTAACCATTGAAAGGCACATTCTCTGATCACAAAACCTAGAATTCTGCTCAGTGATACTGAATTTAAAAGTCAGGGAGAACAAGCTGGTTGTAGATAAAATTTCATATAACCGACTCTCTTAAGATATAATAATTGGCATGAAACATGACACAGGCATCACGGGATAAAATATTATGGCTTCACCAGCTGCTGTTAACTTTTCAATCAGGTAATATAAAGAAAATTAGCCTGAACTGGAAATAGACATATATTTCAGAAACTCAAAAATAATTTCGGTATAGTTAAAAAAATCAGACAAATGAAAGTCACTGCATATATTTATTCAATCATAAATATATATGATATGATACCCATGATTTGGTTTTAATACTAAAAATATTTCATTTTTTAATGGAAAAATGAACATATACTATCCTCAGAAATTGAATTAAAGGGAAAAACAGACAAAGCTACCATTATGCTAAGATGCGTTACCTAGGGATCAGAGCAAAAATCATAAATGTCAGGAACACCTTAATATCAATCACAGCTAAAGTATTTACTCATGTCATTTCTGCAAGCTGATAAGATTTGTCAAAACCAGAAAGTGAGTTAGGAGCTTATATGGGTCCTGGTAAAAGGGAAGATTAGGCTCCCTCTGAAAATTTTATGCCTTATGTAAACATTTTAATAGATTTCAAATTGGGAAAAACAGTATTTATGCAATTTCTATAAGACATGGTAAATGGTTATAAACCAGCTCATGCCAAAACTTTGTTGCTTATGTGTCACGAAACTGGTAAATCCCCTTATTTTCTAATGTGGAATAACATGCTAGGAATGATTCAAATATCCATGTGATGCTTGGATGCTGGCCGAAATTCTGGCTTGCCCTGTCTTTCAACATTTAAAATATTATGGTGAATTGAACATACTGAAAACCAAACACTTAGCATGATGGACCATTTACAATACGCTCTGGCCTTCCCAGAGTAACACCACTTCAGTTTACTCTTCATCAGTCATTGGAAGTATATCACCTCTATGGGAGAGTTCCCAGATCAACTCATTTTTGAGCATAAATAAAATGAATCTAAATAAAATAACACCACTTGGATATAAAAGTCTAAATGTGAAGCTTCATTTTTCATTACTTTTGTAGTTTAGCAGGAACTGAACTTCTACCCAAGAAACTAATGATTATCTAGTATTATACTTTCTCTAGACAATTGTAACATAATTTCTCTTTATCTATTGCAGAATCAGGAGGTTGGTTTTTAATGTGCTGTTACAGATAGTGCTTTCTGTGAGTAATAAATGATAGTACTACTAAATTTTCCTAGTTGTTTCCCAATTTCAGCGCCAGAAGGCACACACAATTTCCTACTTCAAAAACATTTCATGCATTGTAGATTTTTATACTCTACCCACTCTACCCAAAAATAAACAGAAATGATGGCTGAGCTTTGAAAGGTCAAGCAGGTCCACTTAGATAGCAGTTTCAAAATATAAGATAATATTCAAGTCACTGAATTTCACTGGGCTCTAAAACAACATCCAAATGGCTGACTCAGACTTCTTTCTGAACAAAATAAGAATCCAGTATATTTCCATCTCAGTTTCCACTCTTTCCGAACAACATTTCTTTAGCAAGTGCAGCATCTGTATACAAAATTTAGATTATAAACTTTGTGATGTTAGATGAACATCTTCCTTAGTCTTGTGAAGTAGCAGGATCATCAATGCTGATCAATAATGCATAATACTATAGCATATAAGAAAGAGTTCAGAAGCTAAGCTTTACAAAATGCCCATGGCCACTAGTAAAAAAATCCCCACTCCAGACCAAGGGATTATTCTGGCTGTGGCGGTAAAATCACTTATGTGAGTAAAATCTTAAAGAAATCTCAACACTTACACTCAGTACAGTTGTAAGCTATAGTACTACTAAATACAAATATCAAAATAAGACTCTTATTAGAGTAATTTTTCATTTGCTTTTAAGAGTCAGAAAGTCATAGTTTAAGAGTCAGAAAGTCATAGTGCAGTGTTCCACTGAAGTTTAAACCTTGGATGTGTTTATGCATGCTCTTTATTATTTTGAGTGAAAAAAAACAGATTAAAATAGTTTATAAAATAAAACAAAGCTTCAATTTTTAGAAGCCATGAAAAGAAAATAACCATTTTCAAACCTAATTGGGCTTATGTGCATGTGGCGCATTAACATTCGAACAAATTAACAGCTAAACAAAAGTTAGTATGAGAGCTCAGGCACTTGTCTATAATTCATATTCATGTTCAGTACTACACAGAGCCAAATTAGCTAATGCCATTGTCTGCCTGCCATGCCAGGGCTGAAGTCAAACGCTCCTATAGAAAGAAGCAAAGAGGGGAGGGAAGATACATGATGAACTGCATCTCATTTCTTGAGTTCCTTATTTCCATTTACTCTAACAAAAAACACAGAAACTTTTGCTTTCCTCAGAGTTCTCATTTTTTTTTCTGTTTAAGACAGGAAAATATACTCATACCGACAAATATGAGTATTGGTCATGATCTTGATCGAAGATGCTTTTGTTCTGCATGTACCAACTGCTGCACTCCTAGTAGCACTATGAATGAGTTAGCTTGCAGAAAAGCCTGGCCAGGCTAGGTACACTCCAGTCTTGCAGCCACTTTCCTCTATGTCCTGTCATTACGCTCACCTCACCAACATGCACCACAGTGTTTCCAGAAGAGCAGCTTTGGGGAAAAAAGAAACCAAACAAAAACCCCAAACAAAAAAATAACTTTGAAAGCTGTTTTGAAAAATAACAGGAAACTCAGCCAGCTCAATTCAAGAACTTCACTTAAATACCCAATGCTTTTAGTAACAGAGATAAATTTTAGATTTGCCTATGTCATTGCAAGTTCTAAAAACGTACGTTCACTTGCATCCCTCACATATGTTGCAGGACATGCAGGTGTTCTGGATACTGTGCAAGCTTGGCACAGGAATACAACCTGCCTTCTATCCCCTAGCACCTGAAATTTTAGACCCCAAATATTTTTTTTATTAAAAATAACCTAACAGAGCTAATATGTAATAAAAATAAAATCAGCTCAGTAATTGCTGCCAGTAGACAGCGAATCATTGATTCAGAACGACATTTATTAGAACACAAAAAAAATTACTAAAATTTGTATTGTGTGCTCCTGATTGTTCATTTGCTTCTTAACTTTGCTGAGAAACCAAGTTAGCCACAGGTCTGACAAATACCATTTACTGTCAGGTGGAGAAGATATCACCCTAAACATGATGTACATTTTGGAAGAAAAAGAAAAGTGAGCTATAGCTTAATTCTGTATACATGATGCTAATCTTAAAAGTAGCAACTAGAGACTAAGCCAAAACTGGCTGAGACACCAATAGGTATCCTTTTTCTTACTGTTCATTTCTTTCTCGTCTTACCACTCATGGGAATCTCTTTTACAAAGATGGAAACCAGTCTGAATGGAGAAAACAATCATAAAGATGTGCAAATACATCAGACTTGCCAGTACATGGATTTTATTCTTGCCTTTTCCACAAGACAGGTATACATAACACCAGAATGACCAGTGTGAAGACTCATAATACATTCATCGTATTTTTAACTCAAGCAGACTTTTGTCAAATCTTTTGCTGGTGGCTTTCTAACATCAGCAAGTTGCTGTTATGGCACAGGTGCAGCTGAGCCATCCGAGGGCTATATTCTTAGCAACATGTAGGGCCATCAGCTTGCCAGTTGACAGCTAAAAGCTTTCAGCATGGCCACAAACCACAAGCTGTATGTAGTTCCTCAGAAGTACCTGTCAGGATGGCTCACAACTTGCAGCAGTTTTCAGACAGCTATCAACCTTCCAAACAATGGGAAGGACAACACACATAAAGCACAGACCCCTAGCTGCCCTGCAAGCATTGGAGGAGATCCCTGGAAGAAGCACCCTATTCAGATGAAGAGTTATTATGGAGCTGCAATAAGAAATTATATAAATACATAAAAGTCATAATGAGGCATTATATTTCCTCAGCCTGATTCTGGCATCATATTTTGATATTCCCCCCAAAATCTATCTACTCCAAGACACAATTAAATATTACATTTCCAGTTAAACAATTAATTGTTACTACTAAACTTAAAGTTTTGCAGATTAATCCAACTGATGCTCTAAGTAGCTAAAAATAGATATTAAACAGTGAAAGCAGTCACTACATAGATTCATCTAAAAGCTTGCGACACATCAGAAAAAGAAGGCATTGGAAGCACGCATAGCAACATGCATGTTACCTTGGGGGAGCATGTAAAAAACCTTCAGCGGCACGATCTTGAAACATAAATGTCTCACTGATTCTTCACAGACTCTAGACATTCTGACCCCTTGAACAATTTTAAAATTAATGAATTTGCAAAGACTCTACCAACATATGGATGGCGTTTCACATGCACCAAAGTTTAGCATACCACCTTCTAACGGTGTGAAACAATAATTGCTAAATTGTCTTTATTTTACAGTTCATTGGTCTGCCTTATTTGGAAATGTAGTTGCAATTTAGCTGCTTCATTAAGTCAGATCCCTGAATATAGAGATTTTTCCCTGGAAGGTGACACAGAACTTTTTGGGGTATGAAAGCCTAGCACAGAATCCCTTACTCTAGACCATATGGTTTCCAGCTAAGTGTTCCTTTATTTTGGCTTG